AAATTTTCTACGTTAACCACACATTCTACGTCAAGTCAAATTATTCAATCATATAATTCTTTATAAACATAGTTTTTCACTACATTGGATTCTCTTTGATCCCCCAAATATATTTTTAATGAGTCCCAAGAACGTACCCGTGATAATGCGACATAAAGTTGTCCATGATTGAAAATATCTCGTCTGAGGTCAATCCCAATTTTCTCAAAAGTTTGTCCTTGTGATTTGTTTATTGTCATAGCAAATGCTAGTCGAATAGGAAATTGCCTTCTTCCAAATACAAACGGATAGGTGTCATCATTATACAAAGTTATACGACATATGAAAACTATCTCCCCTGCTCTATCGCCAGTTAAAACTTTACATTTTAGTAGATGGTTTGATAGTTCTAAAATTTGAAGTCTAGTTTCGTTACATAAACCTTCATTAACCGATAAATTTCGAATTAACATTACAACCGCATTTATCCTCAACTTTAATTCATGAGGTCGTAAATTGGGAGGATTCAAAGTCTCCAAATACTCTGGTAGCAGTGCTTCAGACATTAGTCCATCATCACATTCTTTGACGGTGTTAATACTCGTATAAATTTTTTCCGTAGATTTATCCAATAATTCTACAACTCTCTTATTAATGTCATCTACATCGCAATTTCTTGCCGATAATATCGCCCACTTTGTAAATTTTTCATAACGGCATTCTTTGATGACTTCTCCATAAATATCTTCTGCGATATCAGCATTTGGTTCTGCAAGACAATTTTCTGGTAGACATAAATCAAAGTCATTTATGTTAATAGTCCCATCACCTACTGATAATAGAAATTTAGTGAATTCGACTTCCTCTGGTAATATGCGCATATTTTCCGTGCGACAAAATATAGAGAATTCAGGCCATAGAGAGCTGAATTTTATTGATAAATTCACCAATTCACTGCGAGTAGCAAATCTTTTAACTGGCAACAGTTGACGAAAATCACCTCCCAGTAAGATGAGTTTTCCTCCAAATGATTGATTATTATTCATGATATCACGTAAATTACGATCTACCAACTCCAGAGCATGTCTCGGTGCCATTGGTGCCTCATCCCAAATGAATATATCAATACTTTTCAAATCTTCGGCTTCTTTAGATTGAACTTTGATAGTTTGCGATGAATCTTTATACAATGCAATTGGTAATTTAAATGTTTTGTGAACGGTTTTGCCACGTGGAAGCAATGTTGCTGCTATACCTGTATATGCCATAGTACACAATTTCTTCTCTCTACTTCGTAGTAAATGATATAGCGTAGTATAAATGAATGTTTTTCCTGATCTGCCAGGTCCGTCAATAAAAATACATCGAGCTTCATTATCAGTTATGTCATTCAACATTTGATTCAAGATAGTGTCAACAATATGTTTTTGATTTTCATTGAGTTTTTCATACTGTTCGGTACCGATAGTAGCATGTTGTACAGGCAACATATCATCATCTTCACTATCATCGATATTGGCGATTTGTGGCATCGAAGGGAAGTCCGTTAAACTTGATCCCTCATTACTTAATAACGTATTTATTTGAATATAAGCTTTTAAATGAGCTTGATGTAAAGACATTCCTCGTGAATAATCCTCTGCTAGTGAATCTTTGAACTCCTCCCATATTTCTTCGGGATGAACGGGCTTGCAGTGGATTAAAATACGCACAAATAATTGTCTCAATTGTCAAGGCATCATCCAAATCTCAGCTTCATGCATAACAGTCAGCCATTCATTATCATCTTCAATTAAACCTAATGCTAGGCATGTACTCATGAATGTCGGATGTGTTACGCCATTTACTGTTCTTAAATCTTCATAACTCATTGCTCCTTTCACAGATGTTAATAATAATCGAAGATGAAATAATTCTGTCTGTGTAGGACTAACTGAGTATATTCGACCAATTACATTGAAATGACTTTTTCGTTTTTCCCAAATCCACTCACCATTTTTCTTTTTGAACGTATAATGCTGCGGTATTTCAGCATATGTGAAATTTCTCGTTTCTGGATCTGGCTGATTCAGAATAAAATACGCAGTCAAGGTTGTATTTTTATTCAATGCACCCTGAATGGCATCAGCATTATCAATTTGATCGATCATAATTGTTTGTTGATTCGATAGATGTATTGACAATCGTGTGATACTGTGGCTTTTATTGTGCATGTGGAAATTAAAAATACGTGCACACGCTTCCGGAGGACTGACATGGCGTGTTTCCAAGAAATCTTTAATTTCATCATAATTAAGAACTCCTTGATCTACATCTGAATTAGATTCTTGAATTACAATAGCGGCAGCATCAGGACCTTTATAAATGTATTTATAAAGATATTTGACGGCTTTAATATTGGAAACAACTTCTACATTAATGTGACAATTCAGACGTTGCAATAACTTTTTGTTGTAAGGAACAACGTTTCGATTGTCGAAAACGAATTCATCACGACGCGTATATTGTCCGGTGTCTCTACGTTTGTAACATGGGTAGCCGTCTTCATCCATTGTAGTTTGATTATTGAATATTTTTGGATATTTTTTTGAGCATTGTTTATTATCATCCAAACACCAATCACCGCAAGGACCGTGAACCATGTTATTTTTTATAATTTCGTGTAATTCTGGGTTATCAGTAGGACTCATGATTTCAGCAGAAATGTATTTGTCTACGATTTCTGGAGTCATGATTTTGGAGTTTGGTCTCAATGTCAGTAACAAATGGACGTGAGGTAAACCGCGTTTTTGGTATTCGACGACATGCATATGAGCCTGAACCTCTCCAAAAATTTTCTCCTTTGTAATTATTCTCAATAATTCATCTTTTTTCAATTCAAATACACGAGCTACTAAGTCTGGTCTGTCTGATGAGGTTTGTCCATCGAGTAAATTTTCGGTTATTTCCCTCCATTTTGGATTACAAGTCATAGTGATAAACAAATCTGGCTTGCCGAAATGACGGACCATCGTCATCGAATCTTGATAAGTTTGCAACATATAACGTGGTGAGCCCATATGGGACGATGGCAAAATGACTATTTTACCAATACGACTATTATTATCTTCAGCTCGTCGTCGTAAATGTTCAATCACATTCTCATAACAATCCACACGTAGTGTCTGTTGTATAGAACGTAAATAATTCATTCTATCTTTTTCCATTTTCACATAACTGTCCACTGTCCATTGTTGGAATAATCTGCGTCCTATTATTATATAATTTGGTTCAGGTCGAATCGCCATTCGATACTTGAAATAAGCATTTCTTGTGATTCTGTTTCTTCCGTCAATTTGTTTCATATCGTCAGCCCAGCCTCTAGTTCCGTGTGGATAAAACAATGGATAAGTCCATGGCTCAGCAAATTCATTCATTGAACTAACATATTGCAAGACTTTATCTGATCTGTTTCGAATAGGAATTTCTCCATCTGCTGTTGTTGAAAAAACTGCTGCAACTTCGTTAACGCGCTGAAAATTGTAGCGTCGTCTGTCTAATCCTTTTCTTAATGTGAATAATAATTCGAGTTCTGGTTCAACCCCATTATTTCGTGCAGTCATCAAATCTAACTCTTCTTTCATCATTTGATATGATTGAACATGTACATTGCACACTCTCATTGCATTGTCAATAGATTGGACAACTTCTGCATTCAAATTTGAATTTGAATTCAATCTATAATCTGTCGCTTCATTCGAATCAATTATAAATAGTTGTTCAAAGCTAGGTAATTCATTAGCAGCTGGATACAGCGATATTGATTTGGTAATAAATTTGGCCTTGAATTTTAAAACAAAAAGGTCCCCGTCGTCGGTTATTGAAATTCACTAAATTAGCGTTGAATGAAGCGACAGAAAATGAATTATTATAGGAACGAATATTCTCATAGAAATGATTTGACTTTTCATGTATGCCATGGAATAGTTGTTTCAGAATCTCCGGTGGACTTGGTAGATTTTGAACAAAAACTTTTCCATGACTGCAGCCATCATTAAAAGAGTTACCCTTATTTGGAATTTTTTCCGCAGTGAAATGCAGAGCCTTGCAATGGACGCATGAAGTATTCATGGGACTAAGATAATGTTCATTAATTTTGTTAGTTGTCTATGTAATAATCACGTGACCATTAATATTATGTGTGAATCGATTACGCGTTTGTGAATGAATTGGAACTGGATTTTGTGATATCGAATATGTTGTAGAATTAGTACATGATGGCTAGTTGTTATTACCATTATTTACCAATTGACAATTCGGTTCTGAAAATCTTAGAGATGTCATTTGAATTTCATTATTGGTTTCTCTAGAAATCGGTCCTAGAATTTCCCTGCCAGGGACTGAGTCTAATAAAACCGGCCTTGCTTCGTTATCCAGATTATTCACGACAATACAATCATCAATTCGATGAAAAGGCAAGCTTTGGGAAATTTGACTGTTCGTTTGTAGTATGAATTCATTTGCTTGCAATTCAATGGAATTATTTGATCGATGACTTTGCAAACGGATTTTCTTGTTGATGTGTTTTGTTCTGCATTGGCGTTCCAATTTTGAATAGTTGGAGTACCTGTGGTCATGAGAGATCGCGTTGAAAACATAGTTTTGAGAAATTTAGTGAGATTCTAAACACGCAGTTGAAGGAATAGTCATCGTAGGAGACGCTACATTGGATTTATGAAGCCCCAATTTTTCATGGGAGAACTCTAATTGTCTTTTCGGCATTTTCACTTTTCCAAAAACTTTTCTGTTAAAAGATCGCTGTCATTTGTTCGAGTAACTGGATAAACATGTGAAAATTTGGTCTACTTTGTCTAGACAGCTTAATTAAACTGCAAATAATCTGGTTGTTGGTCTGATATTTCTGTAAATCTGTATTCTTTCTGTGTGTCTGAATATTTCTGTTTATCAATCTGTAAAAACTCTGTTCAATTTCTTTTATAAGGAGTAGGATAGGAATTGGGATGAAATTTTATTTCACAATAATTATAAGAATGATTAATTATTCAATTCATTAAATACAATTAAACGTGGTCAATATAATTATTTTTTATTATTGATAGTCTGATGATTGATGTACAGTAGCGCCCTGTTGCTACAGATCTGTCTAATGTATTCCCCTGAAACAAACATAAAAATGGCTTTTAATAATAAAGAAAAACAACTTATAGTCAGTGTAAAAAGTATCTGTACTCCACTGAATTACAAAAAAATGAATTGCCTTTTTTCTTCAATCAAAAATATTTCTATGGTGTGTCCGCCTCTAAGTATCAAAGCACATTTAATTTGTATTATATATATTGATTTCACATTGGCGTTTGAAGTTCGTAATTACTACAATATATAATCATATTGCTATTATCTTTAGCAAACAATAAGTATTTCTCATTAATTCCTGATTAAATTTTTATACAAATTATTCATCTATGGCCCGGTTGCACCAACGACTTTTAACCAAGTCGTCAGTTAAGAACAAATTTAAATTTAGATGTTTGATGGATCAATTTTACCAGGAGAGTATCTCAAATTTACCCCATGAATAAAAAATAATAATTTATCCTGGGGTTAAATACTACGTGTTAACTCAAATGGGGCGACCTGATAAATGAAAAATTGTTCATTGGGTCAAATATCAATAAATTATAACCCCTAGGATATAATTTACCCTGAGGATAAATTTTATCCTGGGGTTTATTTGGTTATCAGGCCTTTGTGCAACCGGCCCTATATCTCACATGAATGCACAAAAAAGAATTGAATCGATATGAACCAATACGGTTTTTTTTTAAATATAATGTTACGAATTTAGTCAATTATATATCAATAAACGAATTATTATATTCAATAAAAGAAAAGGAAATTAAGAATAACCATTCAGAAGTATATTGCTAATTTATTAACAAAAAAATAACTATCCCAGACGACAACAAAAACAATTTTTCACGTATTTTTTTTCTCCTGTGTATTCACAAAAGTTTCGTACGTATAAATTTCTCCTCTCCACTTCGTGGTATATTTGATACTTTCTACATTCACTGTCGAAAAAAATATATTTGCAAATAGAAATTAATCTTTACCCTGTATAATTTGATTTCGTCACTATCCCACTGCACGTTGGAAGGTCCGTTTGTATTGTTGGTTAACCTAAATTTCAAAATGGGAGATGAACGTATTTGAATACGCATTTCATTTTATTAGTAGTCTTCTTATTTTGTTTAGGGCCGGTTGCACAAAGGCCTGATAACCAAATAAATCCCAGGATAAAATTTATCCTCAGGGTAAATTATATCCTAGGGGTTAAAATTTCTTGATATTTGACCCAATGAATAATTTTTTATTTATCAGATCGCCCCATCTGAGTTAACACGCATTTAACCCCGGATAAATTATCATTTTTTGTTCATGGGGTAAATTTGAGATACTCCCCTGGTAAAATTAATCCATCGAACATCTAAATTTAAATTTTTTCTTAAATGACGATTTGGTTAAAAGTAGCTGGTGTAACCAGCCCTGAAAGGCTCAGGCCCGGTTGCAACAACTACTTGTAACCAAACCGTCAGTTAAGAAAAAATTTTAATTTAGATGTTCGATGGATTAATTTTACCAGGGGAGTATCTCAAATTTATCCCAGGAACAAAAAATGATAATTTATCCTGGAGTTAAATGCGTGTTGACTTAACTGGGGTGACCTGATAAATAAAAAATTATTCATTGGGTCAAATATCAAGAAATTGTAACCCCTAGGATATAATTTATCCTGAGGATAAATTTTATCCTGAGGTTTATTTGGTTATCAGGGCTTTGTGTAACTGGCCCTAAAAATAATTTAGAATATATAACTTACCTCCAATCGAAGAAGTTGTGAGAAATTGAGAAAATTCACTGTTTCCGGTAAAATTTTCCACGTGTTAGCAAAGATTTTTAAACGATTGCGCGACACGACACGTACTATAAGTGCATGAATTATTTTATAGGTTATGTTCGATCGATATCGAGCCAGCTAATGATGGTGATATATCTCGGCTGATAATATTCTGTTTTATCATATGTTGATTTCATAATGGAATTACATGCAGGGATGAAAAACATTTTTCGTCTTTCTTATGAATAAAAAATTGCTGAAACGTAAAGGAAAATAAAAGTACAAATGAAAAATGAAGATACGATCAAACTGAATATTTTTCTTTTTTTTATTACAAACTATTACAAAATTACAATACAAAATATCATCACATGTCCATAACCAATGACAGCTTTCCAATTTTTTGGCAATTACATTATTTTAATTAAATTTAATAAAAATCTTGAAATGAAGAATTACCATGTGGTTATTTCAAAATGTTTATCACTTGAAATATTATTTTGGCTTTCGCCCATAGTCTTTTTTTATTATTGGCTTTAGCCCATAGTCTGTTTACTGACAAACAAATAACAAATAAATAATATTAATAGTGCTGCAATACCCATTTTATTTGTAACGTAGATATTTGCAGCTCGACTCGTCTTATACATAATAACGACTTTATTCTTTGTAGAAGGCAAGCACTTCGAGTTTCACTCATTTTATACGTAAAAAAAATCATTTCTTTGATAATTAAAATATAATCATTGAAATTTTCAATTTAGCTTTAGCCAACAGTCATTTCGCCAATGGGCAGTAAGTACAAACAACCGGCAATATTTCGATGAATTTTTTGTATTTTATTTTTCGTTTTTAATATTTTTTTTGTATTTTTCATTTTTTTTAATGGGTTTAAGTAACACCCAAAGTTAAATTGAAGCTAACTTTCTCATAATAGGTCATGTGCGTATAAGTCTCATCGTCCTTAAATGACAAAACTACCATTTGGTATTATCAAAACGGTTATCACTTAAAATATCAAATATGGCTTTATTCTATTTTTTTTTGCCACCGAACAACAAATAAAGACTATAAATAGTGTTTTGATATCATTTTTGCTATCAATGTAAATATTTTCAACTTGACTTTATAAATAATACTTTCTTCTTAGTAAAACACAGTCACGTCGAGTTTCACTTATTTTATATTGCAGAATCATTTTTTTGATAATAATGAAAACATGTTCATTGGAGCTTCCAACACGGCTTGAGCAAACAGTTATTTTGCCAACGGGCAATGAATACAAACGAAAGAAAATATTCCCAATATTATTTCTAGTTGCAAAAAATATTAGTGTGCCTACGATAAAATTGGTGGAAAATTATTTTTATCACTTCAAGGATGTAAGAAAAAGTAAGGTATCAAAAACAATGAAACTAAAAGTAATACTCAGATAATTAATCAAAGTGACGTGACATGTACGAAAATGTTTTGGAAAACCTGGTGAATTGTATTAAATCTTCATTGAAAAAAATGCTATTTGTTTTTGGCCGATTCTATTCAAGATATAAAAAAAAAACAATAAAATTTTGTCTTTCTATGAAATTTTTTCTATTTAAACAAAACATTTTCTGAAAATTTATTCACGGAAATATTTCAAGTTTTTTCTCGTTCTATTTCTATTTTTTTTATTTGACAAGATTTTTTAAAAAATTTAGAAAATGTTATTTAAGAATTCCTGTAGGAGATGACTTGATACGAAATCTGATGTAAAAGACAATTTTTTTTATTTATTTATAAGAAATGGACGAATCCAAATTTTAATAGCAACAATTAAGCAATAATCAAATTGGTTCTTGTTGATTGTCTAAACGCAAGGCTCTGTGACTGAACTGTATTGGCATCTTCCTCAAGTTCTCCAAGCTGTCGCCCTCTCTTTCTGGAAGCATGAGCTGCACCAGAGCCACTCAATGACTGCTTACTCCTACTATCCTATGCTGTGTCATCGGCATGAGCAAAGTTGTCTGATGGAGAGAGAGGAGGGAATTCTTCCATTGAATCTTCACTCTCAGCAACAAATAACTGGGCTGGATCAGTGTTCCTCTGTAGTTGCTCACTTTGACGTCTTCTCTTCCTGCGACCACGACCTGCAGCATCGTCTCTCGCTAATTGGTTACCACCATTATCCTTCACTGAATCGCTAACGTCCAAAAAGTGTGCCGGTGGATGAAGTGGAGGAAATTCGGCCATCGACTGAACATCTGGAGGATTTACAGAACTTGTAATAGCTTGTGCGGAGCAATTCTGAGGACCACCACCCTCTACATGGCCACCAGCAAGTGCCACTGGAGCAGGTAGATTAATCACTGATGGATCTGCAATGATTTGAGCTTGAACGGCTGGTCTTGGTGTTGATGTCACTGGACCAGGCAAAGGAATAATCGCTGCTGGCTCTGGAATGATTTGACCCTGAACTGTTGGTTTTAGCATTGGTGCCACTGGACCAGGAAGAGGATTCATGTGAGAAATCACTGGAGGTGCTGTTGTCACTCGCGACGTTTCTACTGCTGCTTGACCATTAGGATGCTGCACTGCTGCTAAAACTCCAGGGGGGATTCTGTATCCCTCAGCCAATTCTTCTTCACCGAGAATCTGATCGCCGACTATTTAAATGTTGGACATATCTGGAACTTGGAGTAACAGGGTTTGGTATGCGTTACGCCGCAGTGTGCCCTGCACGACTATATGTGAACCGAGCCCTGGGACATTGTGCAGATTGAACACACCGATATTTATTACCAGACGGTAATGCCCATCAGTAATTGCGCCAGATCCATAGGCAGCATTACCAAAAATTTGTTGCTCTAGGGCAGTCTCTATGAATCCTACAATGCGGATGACACCTTCTCCACTGTACTGGCCAACATTGGCCAGAAGAATCTCAGGAATGTTAGGGATAAGAGCGTTATCTGGATGTACATAGGGCCCGTGAAGTGTCACTGTTGAGTTGCGTTGTACAGATATTTCGATCTTCATCAAATTCAAAGGAGAAGGATAGCGAGGGTCCGAACGAACAATGCGAGCACGAGTGATAGTAACTATCTGGCCACACAATTGGTTTTCATAGGTCCTTGCCATATCCTCCCAGAATAAGACCCTCAACTGCCTCCCGGTGGTATTGTTGATGATGCATCTGAAGAGGTACACTCTTGGAGGTGCAGCATTTGCACGAGTAGGACGTGGATCTAGGGCTGAAATCCACCCTGTTATCACACTGAAAAAATCAAATTTTAATCAATTATTTATTCATTTAAAAAATTTAAAAAATGTCCGAGAATTTAATTTTTCCATGAATATTGCCAATCGAATTATTCATTAAAATTATTCAAAAAAATTTGTAGATTTTTTCTCTCAATTAAAATATATGTGTAAAAAAGCACATGACAATTACGAGTGAAAAATATACAAATTCTGAGCATCGTAATAATTCATTCATTCATTGAAAAAATAATATGAATTGAGCCTATAAAAATTAAGTTAAGACCTGCATCGATCATCTTTTGGAACGTTATCTACGTTCTCTTTTGTTACCTTGTCGATGAAAATTATCTGAATATTTTAATATGATTTTGCGTTGTAANGTTACCTTGTCGATGAAAATTATCTGAATATTTTAATATGATTTTGCGTTGTAAAAAATACAATAACAATTATAGAATGATAATTAAAAAAAGAAAAAATTATTGAACATCTGTACAGACGTTTTTTAATTTTTAATGAGAAGAAAGTC